ACCTTGAGCCGGTGAGATTAGAACCGTTGAACTGCAGATAACAGTCAGCTGAAGTGGCCTGCAGTACTGCACCCTAACCACTGTGCCACCTCGGCTCTAGAGATTCAAGGCACACTATAGGATAAGAGTCAAACACAGAAGCATCCTTATTGGCTTCCCTGGGATTTTACTCCATCATTCCCTCTTTCCAGTCCTTCTTCATCAACAGTTGGATAATTGTTTTGTGGTTGTCTATCGTTTGACCTTAGAATCTCCCTTCTGAGGTTACCACTTCAACCAACTGACACTTGACTTTGGATTTCTGCTTTCTTCCTCAGCTTCTGCCATCTTGCCTTGTAGGCTTTTAGCTCAGTTGCTTTTATGTCTGGAAAGCTTTTCATTGTCCTCTCGTAATACTGAACCTATCATAGTTTATCCTTTGCTAAAATTTCAGTCTGTCAATTGTGGGTTTCTGGCAGTACAGTAGCAACTAGATCCATTGCTCTATCAGACCTTACACAGGACTCCAATCTAATCTCTCTGAAAACATGTCCTAATACTGAAGGATGGCTGGCTATGAATCAGACGGAGCTTTCTTCTCTTTCTCCAATATTGTTTTGGACATTTTGACAACTGTTCCCACTTTTCCATTGCTCTGGAGAAAGCAGGGAAAGCAGTTTTTATGCTCAAATTCCTATTGCGTCCAGAAAAAAAATTGAATCCTTCTAGGGTAAATTGTACCTTTTTAAGTATTAAGAGCCGTGGTGGCACAGTGATTAGAATGCAGTATTGCAGACTAACTCTGGCCACTGCCAGGAGTTCGATCCGAATCAGCTCAAGGTTGATTCAGCCTTCCATCCTTCCGAGGTCGATAAAATGAGGACCCAGATTGTTGGGGGCAACATGCTGACTCTGTAAACCACTTAAAGGGGGCTAGAAAGCACTCCGAAGCTGTGTGTAAGTCAAATGCTATTGCTCTTAGTTTAATTTTTATCATCACATCCACAGTGACACTTAAGCTTACATTTTACTGTTTGAGATCAACTACATATCACCAAGTCTATTTTGCAAAAAAAATTAAAATAATAGACTACAGGGAGAAGATAGATTTTCTGCTGCCATAAACAACAGATCTAGTCTCGTCATTTCCCAGGATCAATACAGAGTCTCATTATCCTTTTTGTCCCCCAATGATATTAAAATACTGCAGTGTTCCATGTATATTTCCAGGTGGAAATTCATGCCACGTTGATATGCAGTCATGCAACTCGATGCCCTATATAAGAGAAATACATCCTTTTCATTAAGCGTAACTTAAGCCTTCACGTGACCCGACAAATGCGCGCATGACAAAAGCGTGCTGACAAAACCGCGGCGCTAAAACCGCGATGTCATCAACGCGCCGACAACAGTGCGATTTAAGTTAAGGTAAGGTTTAGGGTTAGGTTTAGGTTTAGGGTTAGGT